ACATAAAGAAGATAATTATGGGTTTGGATAAAATGAAGAAAACAGCGTGTGGTTTCTGCTTTGTGGAGTATCCTTTCTAAGTGTAAAGTAGAGGATACTTAATTGCCTGGTTTTGAAAAAAGAGAATATAGCTTATTAATGTCTTTGTTTCTTCCTCTCTGTACATACCCTAGTGTCATTAAAAGCTGGAAGTACCTACATTTTTTCTAAAATTCATGTTTTTTAGTTTTCTTGGTTTTTTTTTTTTTTTTTTTTTGGTGGAACCGGGGATTGAGCTCAGGCCCTTGTGCTTGTCAGGGAAGCACTTGTTCTACTGAGCCATCTCCCTGCCCTCGTTTTGTTTTTTGAGACAGTCTTAAGCTGACTGTATAGCCCAGGCTGGCCTTGAATTTACAATGATCTTCCTGCCCCAGCTTCATGAGTGCTGGAATTATAGGCATCCACCACCATGCCTGGCTGAAATTCATGTTTTGTTCAAAGTTGGGCCTTAAGAAAAATGTCAAAGGGCCAGTGAGATAGCTCAGTAGACCAACTGCCTGCTTAAGCACAGGGATTAGAGTTCAATCCCTGGCACCATATGCCGCTCCAGCCCCACCCCTGGGCAGCCTGAGCAAGTCACTGAGATGGCATGGTGGTGCACGCCTATAATCCTAGTGCTGGAGAGGCTGAAAACAAGATCACAAGTGTGAGCTGCATAGTGAGACCCTGTACCGAATTAAAAAAAAGAAAAATGTCAAGATTCTGTACTTTTAGTAGCCAGGTGTGGTAGCATACATCTGTAATCTCAGTACTTGGGAGTCAGAGGCTGAGGCAGGATGATGAAGTAAGTTCAAGGCCAGCCTGGGCTACATTGTAAGATACTGTCTCAAAAAACAAAAAAATATATGGGGTAGCTCAGGGTAGAGTGCTTGCTTAGAGTAAATGAGGTCTGGGGTTTGATGTCTAGCACCCAGTGGTAAGAGCCCAAAGAAGATAGGAAAATAAGTCTCCCTAGCACTTTGAACCCTTAAATACTTTCTCAGAGTCACCGGTGTCTTGGAGTCTTTCCCAACATAATCCTGTAGATGTATGGCAGTGTTTTTCATTAACCTGTCTTGTAGTTTTTTCTATGCCAGCAATACAGGTCTGCCTTTTTTTTTTTTTTTTAATGCTGTAAAGTATTGTATTATGTAGCTGTATACAGACTGATTTTATAGGTAAAAGACAAAACTGTTGTGTATATATGCATTTTTACAGTGCTGGGGATTGAACCCAGGCCTTTCACACTGAGCTACTGCCAACCTTTTTATTTTTTAGGGTCTAAGTCACTAAATTGCACAGGCAAGACTTGAACTTGTATTTGTCCTGCCTTAGCCTCCTACATTTAGGGACTGCTAACTGGGATGTCTGTGGTTGCTCTTGAGTATACGATCGCCACTTTGAATGTCATTGTTTCTTGGCTAAGAAGTGTATAGTTTGTACTCTAAGCCTAAACCTATTTTGTATTTTACAAGTCAAAATATGGAGACAGAGCAGGAGATAGAGCTCGTTAAATTTGCTCGTCTAGCACATACAAGGCCCTGGTCTCAGTCTCCAGCACTGAGGAAAGAAAAAGGCAGTGGCACCAATTATTAGCTGGGGGACCCAGGAAAGCCCTGGCAGTGCAGCCCTGGGAAGTGCAAGCTTTTCTCTGAAGTTTCTGCAGGCCAAGTTGGCTCGAACTGCACCACGTTGTATTAGCTTTTGTTTATTGGATCAAACAGCACTTCTTAACAGTTCAACTTCCCTTAGATGTTGCCTCACATTTCCAAAACTTCTGGAGCAATGCTGTTATTTCTTAATGCTAACACTTAAGATACTATTCACGACCTGATGCAGAAAATGCCATGCGTTTCATCAACGGGACTCGCCTGGATGACAGGATCATCCGCACAGACTGGGATGCCGGCTTCAAGGAGGGCCGGCAGCATGGCCGCGGGCGCTCTGGAGGCCAGGTGTGCAGGAGGGCCCCTGGGGAAGTGGTCTTCTGAGGTGTTCTGTCAGTTGTAGTTACTGGCTCACTTTTTGCCTCTAACTGCAGTGAAAAATCACTCATTGGTTTAAGGACCTGTATTTGAAACCAGACAGTATGCTGTGTATATTTCTACAGGGAACCGTTAGCTGAGTCTCTGCTATAGCTGGGTGTTTGCTGCTGGCAGGAGTTTATCCTGGCATGACTTAAAGAGCCTGCCAGGGCTATAGCAGAGATGGCTCAGTGGTCTAAAGCACCTACTTAGAACAAGCTCAGCAAAGCACAGGGACCGCAGTTCGATCCCCAGCACCACCTGCCAGCCAGCCCCGCCCCCTGGTGGGCTGAGCTGGCCACACACACACACACACACACACACACACAAATAAAGCAATAAAATTAAAAAAAAAAAAAAGCCTGCCACGTATGTCCTGTTGGAACACTCACCTGGTGTGAGGAGGTTTGGCTCTTGGGTGGTCGTGGGAGGCATATTCACTGCACCGGCTCCTCTCAGCTACAGCTTTGTGTTCTCTCCCATTAAGGTTCGAGATGAATATCGGCAGGACTATGATGCTGGAAGAGGGGGTTATGGCAAACTGGCACAGAAGCAGTGAGAGGCGAGC